TCTCTTCTTTTTATTTACTTAACAAAGCAGTTATGCATATTCCCCTTTTTTACTTTTATAAATAGACCTTCCATCACTTGTCTCGCAATGATGATACCTCTGGCCCAATGGACGTCGAAACCCGTACTTCTCTATGTCTCGAAAACTCTTGCCACCAGACCTTCTTTCCTTCTAAAATCACCAACATGGTGTCCGGTCCGCTTTCAGGTATTTCTATTCCCACTTATGGGCAAATGGTCAGGGGACCTGGACATCTGGTTTCCGGGCTAGTAGGAGGCACAGGTGCTCATAGTGATCTAGGTGGATTACCCCAAACAATCCATCAGCAGTCACCAGCAATACGAGCAAGCAGAATTCTTCGCCGGAGTCAGCCAGCGGCGCGCAACGGTCGTCCCCCCGTCGTACAATCCAGAGTTGATAACTAACTTCTTTCTAAATCGCCCGTCTACCCTATAATGTTTCAGGATATCTGTCCGGAAATTGGATCACACCTTATGCATCCATTTTCGAGTGAGAGTCTTCTTGTCCCAACTGTTTCCATTTACGCATGTTTAGCAATGACTTCTAGCATTGCTATTCCTTAAAAGAAATTGCCAAGCCCAAGCGCCATCAACTAGTAATTGTCATACGTGACTAGCAAGATAATCGTCTTAAATTGATTCTATCATTTGTATCCAGTTCGATCAGAATTGCTTTGTACATAGACTAATAAAATAATGAATTTTTCCTTTTTTACAACCTCATTTGACCCTAGTGTCGTTGAAAAAAGTTCGCGATAGGCTTGTTTGTGCGCTGAAAGAATTTCATGATAGAGCTAAAATCGTTTCACTCGTATTGCTCCCGCTATCTATCGATACATACGGTGACTATCGACTCCAACAATAAAAGCCGTAGAAGCTAGCTACACATTTGTCGAGACTGATTTCTGAAGTTGCTATACTGTGTAGTTGTTCATGTGCTCATTCCCTCATGTCCAAATAATGTATAGTAGTTAGATGTGAAATCGGTGATTAAACCGAGGCCATATGCAAAATAGGATCAGGTGTTACTTTAGATATTACTTTTATGTTTGGAAAAAAGAGCTTGAATTTGGAATCAGTAATTTTCGAGACTATCAACAGTTCTTAAACAAGGGCTTAGTGATTTAAGGATTGATAGTCGAGTCTTCCCACAATAAGATGAGTAGGCCTATCACTTACTGGGTTAATTCCCGAAATTATCTGCTGGTCGACTAATTTTACAAATTCATGAAGTTTTAATTGAATATATGGTCAAAATTCGCTCACTTTAATCGTATGCATAAAGATTGTGTACATCACACTGCTAATATTTACGATCAAACCTTAGTCGAATTCTGGCGCTGATCAGTTGCAACTTGTCAATGCTTTCATCAAGCCTGATTTTGACCAAACTTTTCGATGACTAAACTATTTCCTTATAGTACAACTGGGTGGATCGGAACGCTGGATAAGAAAAATAAAAATTTCGAATATCATGAGTTCTGATCTTGTTTCCACTAGCACTGTTTTAGTAACAGGACCATTCCTGTCAGGGCATAAGTACGGGGTTCGAGAATATTGCGGGGATTCAGGGAGTGATAAGAGATCGGATATGATGAGTGGCCTAAGTAATAGAAAGCCTTGTGGCGTCAAAATCTGTGGGTTCAAAGACCAACAATTAGCAAGCGACAACAAAAAATAGAGCAGACCCAACTGGAGGGGGGCGCAATCTTGTCACTGACTCAACTTACATCTCCTTTTGTGGTTATGTTTAAAATTCAATACAAATGTGCAAATTCAAATGCTTATTGCGATTTATATTCTTATTTTTCGAAAAGAAATTAAGTCGACAAATTGCTATAAACAGTCTATATCTTGTTTAGCAGATACTGCGTGCAAAGTACTAAAGTCTGAGAGTATGTTATTTATATTGAGAGCAAAATTAAGAAAATATGGAAGAAAAAAAGGCAGTTGGAAAGAACGGATGCCATATGTCAGGATAGCGTCTCAAAGGCCCTTATTAAAATAGACTCGACTCAGATTTTGATGTTCTGGTTTAGCTAAAATTTTCATCCGGACATCGGGCTCAAGCTTGGAGATAGAAATACAACTTTGCTGAGGGAAAAGGGCACAGCACATTGGCGTCATGAAGCACAAACTGAAAAGTGGAAAAATTATATATAAAAGAATTGTAAAGTGGCTTTAAGAATTAGTATACTTTTAGGCATCCTGAAAATGGCATTTCGTCTAAAAAATTGCTTTCGATAGATTGCAAAGCGGCTATGCTCACAAAAACGCGATTGCCCAACTAGATTCATACTATAAGTGCTTTTCCAAGAATTAGGTCCTCAGCTACTTTAATAAAGCGTAA